AGAGAGGTCTCAGTCTTAAGCTTGACCAACTAATGTTCACTGTCCCAAGTAATTCCCAAGTTTGACTAGGGAATTAGCATGGGCAAGGGACCACTGCCCGTCACAGTTTGGATGGAGCCAAACTTCTTGAAGATATGGCTAGACCACCCCAGTTGGCCTGATGTCCAGAGGAGGAGCCTTCACCAGGCCTGATGTACTACATAGATGTTGTAATTTTGATTGTATGTCACCTCTTGAGGGCTGGGTGAGGATAGGAATAGGTTTGTGATTTTGACCACTTGGGGAAGGTCCAAACCATAGAATCATAGGATCATCAGGGTTGGAGGAGATTTCTTAAGATCATCAAGTCCAACCATTAACCTGTCATTGCTGGAACCCCTAACCCAGATCCTGCAGTGCCACTTCAGACACCTCTGAAACACCTCCAGGGATGGTGACTGCACCACCTCCCTGGGCAATATCCCAGTGCTGAACACCCTCACAGGAGAGAGAGAGACCATCCCACACCTCTCTCCAGCCCTGGCAGGAGTTGCAGAGAGCCAGGAGGTCACCCCTGAGCCTCTTCTCCAGGCTGACCAACCCAACTCCCTCAGCCCTTGCCCATGTGCTCTGCCCTTTGCTGCCCTCGTTGCCCTTGGCTGGACTCGCTCAGTGCCTCAATGGCCTTTGGGCAGTGAGTGCCCAAAGCTGAGCACAGCACTGAGCTGGGACCTCCCCAGTGCCCAGTGCAGGGGGATGATCAAACCAATCCAATTTGCTGTCTCCCAGGAGCAGTGAGAGGTCTGTAACAGCCCCAAGGTGTGCAGCCATTTGGTCATTCTCAGTTCTCTGTTGTCATGTCACACCCTGAGCAGACTGGAGTATCTTGGCTAGGGTCAAAGACCCCCTGCAGGAAATGCTTTGATTGCATAGCAGTTTAGTGGACTTTGAGGTACAGGAGATATCTTTTCTAGGTCTCTGAGTTTCTCTAGTCTGGAGGAGGCCATTTCATTTTCTCAGCTCATGGATCCCATATTTGTACTCTGGGCACATTTGATGCTCCATAATTATGTGATCGAATGAAATTGCAGCTGCAGTTTTAATTCAGACATTTTAAGGCCTGTGTTTTCTTTCATCTGTTGTCAGACTTAATATACCAGATGCTATGTAAGACAGAAGTAAAAGAGCATCTACCACAGGGAGTTTGCAGGCTGAGAGAAAAGCAGGTGAGAGGACCAGAGCAGGCCAAGAATAAATAAATTAAAATCCAGTGAACCAAGTTCAACATCAGTTCTGGTTCATTTTTACTCCCATATTGTGATGGAGAAGACAGTTAATTGATTATAAGTCTTGCTGATTTGAACCTTGTAAAGTATGTGAGCAACAAGTCCACTGAGACTGGGGCTGTTTGGTGGGCGGATGGGTGATGGGAGAAGCACAGTTAGGAGCTGGGAACACCATGCCTGGTTCTGAAGGGTAGAACCTGTACATAATAAATAAGGCCAACTCAGAGGCATAGCTTGATGCAAGAGAATTCAAACTGATAGGTAGGCGCAGAGAGTAGACTGAGAGGTTCAAACCACGGTGATAAGGTCTGAGGGATGGGCAAAGTGACTATTCATGCCTGCCGCAGTGCACACCTTGCCCAGATTTGGCCCATGCCAACCAGCACTTCCCTCATGTCCTCAGCAGGGTAGGGAACAGCACACGCCTCTCCTGGCAGACACTGAGCTTGTTCTGAGGGCCAAAGCTGTGCCGTGTCAGCTCCATCTCAGGTCTGTGCGCGGAGGAGCTTCGGGGCTGAACGCGCCGTCTGGATCTGTCGAGCTGGTTCCAGCTCAGCTGTGTCTCCTGCCGTTTCCAAGCTTGAGCCTGGAGAACCTGAGCTGTGAAAGGTTCCTATCACAGTTTGGGGTGTCGTCTGGGTGATGTCGCACTGGAGTGCATGACAGATCCATCATGTTTCTGAGAGAGAAAATGAGACACTAGATGCACAAGATAGTTTGTGCTCTCCTCTTTTTTCATAATGTAGCATCATTTTGCTATACCGTCTGCGTTCACAGAAGGAAACCTCTCTGCACTTTGAGAGCCTTTCGTTTCTTGTCGCTATTTTGAGCCCTGTTGAGAGTGAATACTTTCCCCAGCACTGTTGAGCTCCAGTTTCAGAAGCAGGTGTTTGCTTCCTCTTTAGACCAGTCTGTGGCACAGTAGTTTGAGTATTGCTAAGTGTCCCATGTCTCTGAACTGTGTGTCCCACACATTGCTTAAAAGCTTACATGGTAAATCATCCTATTTTCATAATCTCATCTCTGTTTGCAATTCATTGCCCATCAAAGCTTTCCATGCTAAGAGGACCATTTGTTTCTGTGTCCACTGGTGTAGAATGTTCTACCAGTCGATGGCAAAGGGCAAGCTGAAGTACTGTGGACACATGAGACAGAGAAGGGGAATGGCATGAAATGAATGCAGTTTGTGCCACTTGCATTCCACAAGGTGTGGGAATTCTGTGGCAGTCTGCCTGGCTTCGTTACCATGAGCTCTGAAGGTTGCTGCTGTGCTCGTGAAGGAAGGACACGCTTTTCATTCCTATGGTCAATAATAAATGGGGTAGTTCCTGGGAAGAAGAGGTAGAGTGAATAAACAAAGACCATGTGTGTCTGTTCCTGGAGGGATAATATGAGTTGAAGTACAGTTCAGCCTCGTAAAAAGATTATCTTTGTAATACTACAGGAGCCACTGAGACTTGGGATTAATTTGTACTTCCTAAGTGCAGAATACAAAACCTGAATCTCTTGAAGGGCTGGAGGAACTGGCAGGAGCCTTTTGAAAAGACAATCTAAGTCCTGAATTAGTGATGTGAATAGGTGTAGGCATGAAGTATAAACCAGAAGTCCTTATGCTTGGGAAGTAAACTGATAGCTGAGAGCTACTCATGCAGATTCATAAACCTAAGGGAATCACAAAGGAATTCTGAGCTCCTTTGAAATCTTTGCAGCTGACCCTACTGAAAACAGAACACTGCAGCATGGAAGTTCTCTCTTTGTGCTCTCTGGAGGCTCTTCTAGGCAACAGCCTCACGGACACGGACAAATGCATTCATGTAGGATAGCAAGAGAGAAATTAATTCTAACCCCAGTTCTACTGCAAAATTGAGACAAAAAGAGATTAAATGACTTGTCCAAATCTGCACAGGAACTCTTATGGCAAAGTCAGAATCTGACTCAGGGATTCTGTTGCATGACCTTTCCCTTTGATTTTGAAAGGCATTTTAATTTCCTCTTTTTCATTTCTCAGACTCTTCAGACCCACAGGTGTTTAGTAATGTTTATCCTACTCCTAAGATTTTAGTCTAGTCTTGGGTAGAGCTTTTTATATGATTCTAATTTCTTCCAAGGGAGAAATAATGTTCTGCATTTGTTCTGTGTTTTGGAATGTATGCAGGATAGACCTTTGGAATGAATTAACAGCTGCTTTTTCAAAAGTACAAAACTACTGTTCCAATGCAAATCTTCTTTATCCTGAAGTGAGCAGTAAGATCTCCTAGTTACTTCCAAGAATGTAAAGGGTCCTTCGGAATACTCTTGTTATCCCTTCCCTTTGATTCCCACATTAGAGGACAGGCAAATGAGTTACACAGTATAGGCAGATCATGTGAGCAAAGTCTCCATGGAAACTGCCTAATTTGTGCTTTTATTTAATTAGAGTTGTCCATTACCTCTCCAAGTGAAATTTAATTTGAATTCATGTGCCAGTCATTTTTTAATTGTGTATGACTTTTTACCCATCACTTACCCAGAGCTCTCCTCGCTGTGTTTTAGTAGAGTGAGTTTATTTAACAACTGAGTTTATAAACAAGATGTTTATTTGACAGCTTAGCTTATCCAACATCCTTCACATCCTTGGGACTCATTTTCTATGCAGTATCTGTGCCATACTACCCATTGTTATCAATTCCATAGCCTTAACCTCGGCAGCAATTGCTGGAGAGATGCACATGAGTGTGTTCACTCATTTTGCTTGCTGTGAGATAATTGAGGGGAAATCAGAGTACAAATGAAAAGTGTAACCAAGAACTGCTCGAGATGCAGGTGTTTGCTGAGTGGAGCAGGGAAGCAGGCAGAGCAGTGGCTGTGGTAAGCTCCACCACAAAGCCAGCAGGTCTGAGGCAGACAGCGCGGTGCTCCGAAGGAAAGTCAGAGTCAGTTCAGACTTGCAGGAACGTCTGCCCGAGGATATGGGGAGCATGACCTGCTGTGAGCTTAGTCACAAGTCGTCAGTCCTGGGCTGCACCACAAGAACATAGTCTGCAATCCCTGATTTCGTCTCTCTCTGAAGAGCTGCTGGTTGAACATACAGTGACAGGCTTTGCAGTGCTCCATTATTTTGCTGCTCTGCTGAGCTGTCTGTGCTTGGAACACACAGGCTGTATGTACTCAATATTTCCACTCTGAAGGAGGCAGCTCTGGAAAGGATCTGAGCAGGGTAACTTAGAGCTGCACCGAGGCAGTTCAGCTGTTTGTCCCTTGCTGCACTCACACAGACGTACACAGCACCCGAGTGCAGGTACTTTTCCAGACTTAGAGAAGTTCTCTCTGGCACAAAAGTAAATTTTATTGATAGGAGAAAGTCCAGAGCATTATCAGAGTTCAGAATGGCAGAATCTAAATGGTTGTGTCTAAAAGGTAATCAAAGCGGCCTGAGAATCACGACTGGGAAGTGCTAAAGGGGCTGACAATAAGGATTCTGCTGGAATAAGCACATGAAGGCTCAAAGATGGTGGAATTCAGTGTGTGTAAGAAAAGCTGAAAAGCATAATGTAAAAGATGTTATTAAAAAAGGCATTTATGAATGTTACGACACTAGTGAACACTAGAGCGAGTGGCAAGGAGGGACAGACACTGCAGGTAGCAGCAGCTCAGCAGCTGCATGGTAACAGCTATCACTGAGGGGATGTGAAAACGAGCAGAGTGTGTGTGTGAGAGTCATTAAATAGCTACTTTGTTTCTGTCTTTGCAGAAGAAGAGGGTGGCGAACTGCTCAAGTCGGGCTTCAGTTTTCCAGGGACGCCAGAGGAGGAGCTAGGTACAGACCCATCTCTCAGCTAACTGGTACTCGTGCGTCCCGATGCTGGGCCAGCCCACAGGGGCTGGGCCAGGACAGAGGTGCTGGGTCAGCCCAGAGGTGTTGGACCAACTCAGAGGTGCTGGGTCAGCCCAGAGGTGTTGGGCCAGCTGAGAGGTGCTGGACCAGCCCAGAGGGGCTGGATCAGCTGAGAGACGCTGGGTCAGCCCAGAGGTGTTGGGTCAGCCCAGAGGTGCTGGGTCAGCCCAGAGGGGCTGGGTCAGCTCAGAGGTGCTGGGTCAGCTCAGACCAACTCAGAGGTGCTGGGTCAGCCCAGAGGTGTTGGGCCAGCTGAGAGGTGCTGGACCAGCCCAGAGGGGCTGGATCAGCTGAGAGACGCTGGGTCAGCCCAGAGGTGTTGGGTCAGCCCAGAGGTGCTGGGTCAGCCCAGAGGGGCTGGGTCAGCTCAGAGGTGCTGGGTCAGCTCAGAGGTGCTGGGCCAGCTCAGAGGTGCTGGGTCAGCTCAGAGTTGCTGGGTCAGCTCAGAGGTGCTGGGCTGGCTGAGAGGTGCTGGCCCAGCCTGCCCCGGCCAGAGCCCACACCAGGCACGGCCCCAGTGCTGGCACTGCCAGGACCAAAGTCCTCTCAGGTGAGTCCTGCTGGGAGTTTGGCACCTGCTCTGTAAGGTTAGAGGATGGAAAGCAAAACCCATCAGATTTGGTTAACCCCCAGGCAACCAAGGATTCAAAAGAAGGTGCTCAAGGACATGACCAGCCTTCCTTCTTTGGTCTTTGTCTCAGACAGTTTCTGCCTTAATCAAAGTAGTGTGAGAGGGAAGATGTGGTTAAACGTGAGGATCCCCAGGAGTCTGACAGGTGGATCCTATGGAGGAGTCATGGAATGAGCAAATCTCTCAGCCTTCTTGGGCATTTGGAGGTTTTTCACCCTGCTGTCCCATTTCACAGCACACAGGGAGGAGCTCAGACACCCTGGGTTGGAATTCATCTCATCTAAGAGTTAGAAAGTCATTCAGATGTCGATGTCTAAACTTGATCTTTGGACTTCCTTCAGAGTCAATGAGGAGTAATAGACTTTTATAGGACGTAGCAGGTTTGGCCTACTTTATAAGCTTAATGTAGAGTGGGGTAACTAATGCCCTAGAAGTATATCAGAATTGTTCTCCTTCCCGTTTGGCTGAGAAAGAACTTCACGGCTTCGCAAGTCAGAGCCAATGAGGTATAAGTCAAGGGTATTAAATGGCAGGTGTCTGTGGTAAGAAGCCTCATATGAAACAGCTAATCAAAGACTAACACAAAGATATGCACTAGCTGATTAGTCATCCAGCACCCAGATTAGGAAGAAGATGGGAGATTAGACAACAGAAATAAGAAATGGGAAAGTAAAATAAGAAAAAATTCACAGCTAGACTACAAAGCAATTCAGCTGCCTTCAAAAACTTATCTATTTATGGCCAAAGGACTGAAAAAAATATGGAAAAGCAAGGAAAGATCTGTCCTTGCTCCTAAATATATGTGTCCTTACTGGAGTCCTCTGAAATAAGTCCCAAAGATCACTACGTGGAAAGAAGTGAGTGGCTTTGATATTTTCAGAAGGAAATCCTGTCCTGTCTCAACTGCCAAACAGTAGTGGCCAAAAGAGATGAATATCCCCAGGAATGTAAAAACTCAGGGTGTCCCATTCTCTCTTAGAGAGAATCACTGAAATTGGGAAGACTTTCAGGAAATTTGTGGGACAGTCAGTTGAGTTGTGTGTGGACAAGCTCTGCAGTTACAGCTGTGCTGGTGTGTTACACCTCCACAGATGGATGGGACACACCTGTCTGTCTGTCTGTCTTTCCCCCAGTGTTGTGTTCCAGCTGCGAACTATTACACCTTTCTCAGTCTCCAATTTTTCTTGCTGTTGCACATGTGTAAAGTGAGATATTCGTTGGAGAGGAATCTGGGTGGATGCTCTGATCACTGGGCTGTGGAAATGGGCTCAGCCCCTCTGTGTACACCTAACCTAAGGACTGTGTTGTTATTCCCTGTGAACAGCCTCAACCTGAAGGACTGCTGAGCCCTTCATTCCTGAAGAAACCAGACAGGGCTTTCCTTGGGAAGTCAAACAACAGCCCCAAGTCAAAGCAGCCAGGGTGATATCTGTGAGGCAGCTCTAACTGCAGAGCCTTTGTTATTCCAGGCTGTCACTGCCCCAGGGAGCTCCAGGCTAGAATCTCTCTGGTACTGGAAGTCTCTGGCTCCAGGCTCTTATTTGCAAAGTGAGTTTAGTATTTCCTAGTGATGTTTTGGGGCTTTGGTGGGGATTAATTAATGTTTGCACAGTATCTCACCAGAGTGAAAATGCTGAGTAGTCAGTAACTAATATTGTTAATAAAACGATCCACTGCCTTAATTGGGAAAAGGTGTCAAGGGATGGGACTGATACCAACTCTTCTATGCTATTGATTCTATAAAATGCCTCATTAGTTAAACCAGGCAGAAATGCAATGGATTCCTTCAGAAAAAGATTCTCCAAGCACTCATAGTCTGTTCTCGAGAACAATATTTCATGGCTCTGCACCATTTATTTGTTAGCAGAGTTCAGAGTGGTGAGTGTTATGGTTACAAGAAGAGCAGAGCAACGAGGCTGGTGAAGGGACTGGAGCACAAGTCAAGACTCAAGCTCTGCTGGGGGGGGTTAGGTTGGATATTAGGAAGAGATTTTTTCCAGAGAGAGTGCTCAGGCATTGGGATGTGCTGCCCAGGGAGGTGGTGGATTCCCCATCCCTGGAGGTTTTCAAGCTGAGACTGGATGTGGCACTTAGTGCCATGGGCTAGTGACCACGGGAGGGTTGGACTCGATGATCTTGGAGGTCTTTTCCAACCTGAATGATTCTACGATTCTATGATTCTAAGATTCATACTCAACCAAAATTCCTGTTCTTTTCATGAGGAACATCTCAAAGCAGCAGCCTGATAAAGGCAGCAGGGCATAGTGGTGGGAGCAAGAGTCTGAGAGGTGTGATCCCAGGCAGCTCCCTGCAAGTCTCATGGAAACTGGAGTTCTTCCAGTTCCAAGCCTCCTTCTAGGTGGAGCTTATGTTGTCTGAACAATGTTAATGTATTAGAAAAGAACCATTTTATGAAACTGTTCTTGCTTATGGTGTCTAGAGAGTTCTCACACTCTTATTCCCTTTAGGCCTGTAAAGAGTAAGGAAACATTTTGCTTTGGGTGTGAGAAGCAAACAGCACAGTCTCAACTGCACTGTTTGCTTCTCACACCCTCTCACAAGAGGCACAGAAAAAGTTACATGTTTGAATGCCATCCAAATACCAAAAGAAAATGACCAGGGAAGATGGGATGAACTCTTTAAAGATATATATTTCAATTGGTAGCACATGCATAAAGTAAAGAGGCAAAAACAGATTGCCAAAAAAGTATTTCAACTCCTTTTCATAGATAAGGATTACATTTATTTACCACAAGTTTAACACTTAGCAGCTTCTAATGTCAAGCCAAGAAAGAGAACCTGCACTAAAGGCTTTTTGTTTCAGTAAATTGCTGGTTTCCCTTCAGGATCTGCTACTGAGTTGCTGCTAAGGAAAAGGTTGAAACCTGTAAAACAGGTTTCAGTTACTAATAATGCTCTTAAGCTGCCCTGATAGCAAAGGAAGCTGTAAGGGAGTTTAAGGGCAGGTTACAAAAATGTGTTTCCATTTCACAGCTGATGCAGTTCTGCTTTTGAGTAATTGGTGAGGTTCAAGTGTCAGACAGTAACTCATAGTTATTCAATCACTGCTGATTGCATGATCATGCCTTTATGACCTGATGGGTTGGAATAAAGAAAGGATATAGCTACTCTTGAAAGAAAAACATAAATAAAGGCCTGACTTTCCAGTCTGTCTGTCCTTCTACCACAATATCCAGCCTTGCTCAGTGCAGTCAGTGTCTGAACACTGTGCACTTTGCAAGGGTTTCGGCTTCACGTACCAGGAATTACAGGAGATTTTCCCAAGGACAGAGAATCATAGAGTCGTAGAACTGTCAAGGTTGGAGGAAACCTCTAAGATCACCAAGTCCAACCATTAACCTGTCACTGCTGGAACCCCTAACCCAGATCCTGCAGTGCCACATCAGACACCTCTGAAACACCTCCAGGGATGGTGACTGCACCACCTCCCTGGGCAATATCCCAGTGCTGAACACCACAACAGGGAAAGCATTTCTCCTCACACCCAATCTGACTCTGCCCTGGCTCAAAAGAGAAGGGGTTGTCAGTGAGCTCTTGGCTCTCTTTTGTGCCTCATTCATGCCTCACTCCACCTTCTCCCAGAGCATCCAGGGATGGTGATATATCTGTGGACTTTGAGTGGAGCTGGTAGGACTTCAGTCAGACTCAAAGCTTGGCCCTGCAGATTGAACTGCTGCAGTGACAACTCATCCCTGTAAGTACAGGCACAGTAGCAAACACTGTTGTAAATTCCTATATGGGATTATCCCAGAGACTGAATCATAGAATGATAGAATCAACCGGGTTGGAAAACACCTCCAAGGTTATCTAGTCCAACCCTGCTGTGGTCACTAGCCCATGGCACTAAGTGCCACATCCAGTCTCAGCTTGAAAACCTCCAGGGATGGGGAATCCACCACCTCCCTGGGCAGCACATTCCAATGCCTGAGCACTCTCTCTGGAAAAAATCTCTTCCTGATATCCAACCTAACCCTCCCCTGGCAGAGCTTGAGTCTGTGCCCTCTTGTCCTGCTGCTGTTGCCTGGGAGAAGAGACCAACCCCCACCTGACTCCAACCTCCTGTCAGGGAGTTGCAGAGGGTGAGAAGGTCTCCCCTGAGCCTCCTCTTCTCCAGGCTGAACACCCCCAGCTCCCTCAGCCTCTCCTCATGCCACTTGTGCTCCAGACCCTTCCCCAGCCTCGGTGCTCTGCTCTGGACAAATGTTTCCCTGGTTTCTGGCACTACCCCTCAGAGGCACCAAAGCTGCTTTTCTTCTTGTGCCATGGGGAA